CGGGAGAGATTTACGGTAATAAGAGTGCTCATGATCGGTAGAGAATACTTAGGCGAAATTATAGAAGACATAGCGGGAAGGATTCCGACAATTGAGGAAATCATAACTCTAGACCTCCTTAATCTTTTCTCTAACCCTCAGTATCGTTAGTTGTTAATTTACTATTTTAATTTGTTAGTTAATTAGTTAAACACAAGAATCTTAATATCTATAAGTTAGGAATTGTTCAAGCTTGTCTTCTTGGTGATAGTGAACAGTTGTAGCTAAACCTTAGTTCTCTGTGGGATTCGACTCCGGACTTGTAAATCGGATTATATTTGCAACGACCGCATTGTCCTTTTTATAAGGCATAGTTGGGCGTGATCAGAGGTGAAAACTCTTGCTATCATATTATCATGCATATAGTTATAGCAAGATACATTTGTGCACAAATTGCATTGAGTATGTAGTACTTCATGACCATGAATTCTATATGCTTTAAGCAATTTAAATCCTTCATGGATTGTCATATAAGTTAAGTCATATAAGCCATATAATAGACTTTAGATGCATATCAAGTTTTCATGTCATGCTAGACATATATGATATCGAAAACCGATTGCACATATCATTGACTTTATACTTTCAAGTGTTTGAACTACATGTCCAAAACTACATGTCTTTCATATGAAACCAAATTCTACTTGAATTGTTTCTCTAGACTTAAGATGCTCATATATTTTTAGCGCTATCATAGATGTTGTCGACAAACATTTTATATCGGTTCCAACCTCCTTATTTTTCATAAAGACATAACATAGAGATATCTTCATTCACATATTCAGATACCTGAATCTCTCAGGAGATTTTATGAAGTGTTATGTCATGTGATCTTCTAGATCACTTGCTTCCTTTATTATGACAATTTTGATCATTTGCTCATCTTCTATATTAAGAAGTTTATTTGAAACCGATTTGTCTATATGCTTTAAGCGTACCATAGACGTTGTCCTTCTAGGACTTAATAAGAGCATTTGCAATGAGAATATAGTTACTTCGTTTGGGTCAGACTAAAGTGTCCGTCGTCGGACTGTCGTTCTTTCGGTACTAAATTAATTTAGTTTCGAACTAA